GGGCCTCACGTCTGCCCTGCCCTCCCAGGAGTGCCCCAGCGGCATCGTAAACGAGGAGAGTTTCAAGCAGATCTACTCCCAGTTCTTCCCGCAAGGAGGTGAGCTGCCGGCCTCGCGGGCCGCGTGGGGAGAGGCGCGGGGGCTGGGGAGGAGGCGGGGCGCGGCGCCGACCCGTCCGGAGACCTGTGCGCCTCCCCGCACCCCCGCAGACTCCAGCACCTACGCCACCTTCCTCTTCAACGCCTTCGACACCAACCACGACGGCTCAGTCAGTTTTGAGGTGCGCTGCGGGAGGGGGGCTAGGCAGCTCCCCTTGCGGGTGCTCCAGGGCACAGCCCAAGGGCGGGTGCGGTGCTGGGTCTGTGAAGACCGGTCCTGCTGTTTCCTTCCCAGGACTTCGTGGCTGGTTTGTCCGTGATCCTTCGGGGCACAGTCGATGACAGGCTGAACTGGGCCTTCAACCTGTACGACCTCAACAAGGACGGCTGCATCACCAAGGAGGTGGGGGCGGCGCGGGGCTGGGGAGGGGCAGCTGCCCGCTGACAGCTGCGAGGGGTGGCGTCTGCCCTCCTAGGCCCGGGTTTGGAGGCTGAGGCTCTGAGGAAGGGTTTTTTCCTGTTGGCCTAACAGGAAATGCTTGACATCATGAAGTCCATCTACGACATGATGGGCAGATACACCTACCCTGCGCTGCGGGAGGAGGCCCCGCGGGAACACGTGGAGAACTTCTTCCAGGTGCCTGGCACGGGGTAGGGCTGGAGGGAGCCCGAGTAGAGGGAAGGAGGCCAGGAGCCACCGCGGGACTTACCTGAGTTCTGCCTGCCTCTCTCCTGCCACCCCCTGCAGAAGATGGACAGAAACAAGGATGGTGTGGTGACCATTGAGGAATTCATTGAGTCTTGTCAAAAGGTAAAGGCCTTGCCCTCCACATTTCCTTGGTCCAGACCCCGGGCCTGAGTCAGTGTCACGGGAAAAGGCACCTTTGGGGGCAGAGTACCTCTTCCCTTACCCCCACCCAAGCCCCTCCGGCATGACGAGAGGACACGGACTCTGGCTGTCTCCTTCCTGCCCCTGAATGTCCGGCTCTCTCAGTCAGTGTCCTCTCTGCTGCTCATAAGCTTTTTTTTCCCTGTGCTCTCCAATTTGCCTCCCTTAAATGATGGCCACAGGACGAGAACATCATGCGGTCCATGCAGCTCTTCGACAACGTCATCTAGCCCACCAGGAAAAGGGGGGTCAGTGTGTCTTAGGGGGCCATGCTGTATCCCTAAGCCAGGCAGACCTCACCCTTCTCTTCCCAGGTCTGTGCTCTTCCTAGCCCTGCCTGTGGGGCTGTAGGGGTCCAAGAGCCTGGGCTTCAGTATCCAGATCCCTGGAGCTGAAGGGGCCAGAGAGTGGGCAGAGTGCGTCTGGTGGGGGTGCCCAACTCCCGGTAGCCCTCACCCCCTTGCTGCCTGACACCCAGAGCGGAGGTGCCCCTGCTGTGGGAATTGAGCGGCTGCCCACCTCCCACCCCTGCTCTAGAAACCGCACCACCAGACGGAATGTCTCCTGCTATGGTGCTGCTTCCACCCCTGGTCTAAGTATGTCCCCCAAGACTTCCCAGAGAGTGAGCGTCTGGCCTCAGCACTGGCCAACCTTTCAGACCAGCCTGTGTGAGGGGGACAAGAGTGTGGAGGGAGGCACCTTGGGCCTGAGCCAGCGGTTAAGGCCTACAGGTTGGCTGGGGTTGAGAACACAGAGGCCTGGGCAGACGGTGAACGCTCAGGCAAGTTCCACAGTATGCCACCCTAGGCCATCAGGATACGTTTCTAAACATTTCAGAGGGCCTCATCCCTTCCAAATGTCCCAGAAATTTTCCATCCCCTTCCCAGTATCCTGGGAGAGCCTGGGATCCAGCTGTCTGGCTCACCCTTGAAATTTCTTCCCCTCCCTCTTTTGTATGGGGGGGCCGTGGCGGGGGGATGCAGGTGGGGAGTCCTGGCTGATGGCTGCCAGAGTTCCGGCCCGCTTCCCTGCTCGTCCAGTTTTGATGGCTAAGACTTGAGTTTTCACTTGCCGTGTCCTCTAGACTTAGAGGCAGAGAGAGTCGGGATGTTCCTGAACTGGAGTCTTGCCGGCCCTCCAGCGGGTGCCTTGGTGGGGGCAGGCATAGCGGTGTTACCTGGGGGGCAATCTTTGACCTACCAAGGCTGTCCCCACCCCACACACGGCCTCCTCAGCTCCCTTCTCAGCCTACACAGAAATGCTGCCTGGCACACCAGGAGGGCAGGGACCGGAAGACCCAGCTCCCACCTTCTCAGCACGCCTGCCACGCTGCTACCCCGTAATGTACCTGCTTGTTCATTCAGCCAGAATGAGGGCAAGGACCCCCAGGGAGGAGCCCCTGTTGAATCAGACACTGTTGACTGCTTAGCATTTTTGGCTCCTCTGTATATTTTGTAAAATAAGGAATATACCAGATCAATAAAACACAATGGCTATGCACTGGCTGCCATCTCTTTTTTGTTCCTTTACCCCATAAATACTGCACAACCCCTAACTCATGTTGCCTGCAGCCTCAAGAAATTGCCTGTCAGTTAGGCGTGGTGGCGCATGCCTGTAATCCCAGCACTCAGGAGGCTGAGGCTGGAGGATCGTTGTGAGTCTGAGACCAGCCTGGGCTACAAAGTGAGCTCAAGACCAGCTTGAACTACACAGCGAGACCCTGTCTCAAAAAGACCAAAAAAAAAAAAAAAGAAAGAAAGAACTTGCCTGTCATTTTGAGTCTGACTGTGTCTTAGTAGGAGAACATGTCTCAGGTTCTATACTGGTTCACAACCTACTTAGCCATGGGCCCCCCCAAAAATCCTCCTCCTAGAACCTGAGAGAAGACAAGGAAGGACAGGGTGTTAAAAGACTATGCCAAGCAAGCTGTCTCTCAGCATTCTAAACAAGAATTTCTAATTTACAGCTGAGTGTAATGATGCACGCCTATAATCCTAGCTTGTCAGGAGGCTGAGGCAGGAGGATCACAAATTTGAGACCAGCCTGAGCAACTTAGCAATACCCTGTCTCAAAATAAAACTAAGAAAAGGGAGATGTAGCTCAGTGCAAAGGCCCTGGGTTCAATCCCCAGTACTGCAAAACAACATGTATAACCTTTCATTTCACAAGTTTCTAAAGCTTGAATTACTTACAATTCTTTTATAACTAGTTTCAAGTATTTAACTGCTTTAACTTTAAACAAATATTGTAAACTATAGAGATTAAAAAATGTGATTTCAGGGCTGGGGCTATAGCTCAGCGGCACAAGCACCTGCCTGGCAAGTGCAAGGTCCTGAGTTCAATCCCTGGTACCCAAAACAAAAAAAAACTAACTTATAAAAATGTGTTTTCATAGACCTATACTAAACTGAACTAAAGTAAGCCTACTTTTTTGTGACCTCATTGTGATCTTTTGGTGACAAAAATATATAATGTTGAAAAAAACCAAAACCATTACCTAGTCTATCCCTCAGCCTTCCCTTTTACAGAGATGTCTTAGTCACTTATTATCTCTGGAACAGAATGCCTGAGATGATCGCAGTTTAAAGGAAGAGAGGGTTACTCTGGCTCACATTTCAGTCCAGGGCCAGCCGGCTCCAAGGCAGAAAAGGCAAGGCTGAAGGGGCTGAGCAAGTGTGGTGCCCAGCCGAGAGAAGGGAAAATAATACACCCTTCCGGCTCAGACCTTAGTGACGCAGCGCTGCAGGCCAGGCCCCAACACAGCAAGTCGGCATGAACCCACGGAGATAAACACACAAGGATGAGTGTGGTGCCCTGATTACCCAGTCGCCTTCCAAGCCCAGGGGTCTTGGGGGGATATTTTACTTTGGTTCTTTTTGAGACAGGGTCTCTATGTGTAGTTTGGATGGCCTTAAACTCCTGTGGCCCAGGCTGGCCTTGAACTCATGGAGATCACATCTCGGCCTCCTGAGTGCTGGAGGTGCAGGTGCGCATCATCACACCAAGTTTGGGGGACACTTTAAATCTAATCCAGGGCCAGGAATGTAGCTCAGTGGAACCACACCTGCCTGGCAGGTCCCAAGTTCAATTCCTGGTACCAAAAAAAAAAAAAAATTATTCTTTAAATTAAAAAAAAAAAATCTAGGGGCTGGGAATTTAGCTCAGCAGCACAGCGCCTGCCTGGCAAGTGCGAGGTTGTGAGTTTGATTCCCAGTATGATTCCCAGTACCGAAAAAAACAAAAACAAAATCTAATCCATAACAAGAGGAAACAGGCTCAGAGGAGCCAAAGAATTTGCGGAGATCACCAGGTGAGTTTGTTGAGGGCTCAAGCCTGGACCCTGTTCCCCAAGTCTCTGTCGAGAGAGGCCCCGGGGGCACGGTGAGGGTGTGTGTGAAGGACTGCGCTGTGTGTGCCATGCGTCATCTAAAGAAAGGGCACTGTGACAGGCTTGCAGGGAGCTCTAGGTTGGTAGCTTTGTACTTACTGGGTAATAATTTGCGTCTCTTGATACGTGGTGAATTCCTTAGGTCTCCTTGAGCACCTGGGCTAGGCTTTGCCCTTGCTATCTTATCCCTGGGGGCCTGGCACGCAACAGGCATTCAGTAAATGATTGTTTTACTGGGTGAATTAGCTGATGAGTACATACGTATAAATGGATCAGATTGGGGGACGCCTCCCATTTTAGGGTAGATCCAAATATGGGCAAGTTAAAGTTAGGCTGAGGATCACCAGCGAGGAAGAAGTACCCAGAGACGGCACACAGAGGGGTCCAGGCAAGCCAGCAGGCCGGTGTCCACACCATTTTGCCAGGGCCACAGGTCTGATTCTGACCGTGTTGCCAGCTGCTCCATGTCAAAACTCTCCTTACTTGCCTTCCGGTATTTCCTGTTTCCTTCCTACCTCTCAGGTCCTCCCTGGCCTCCTTTGTAAACTCCTTATTAACTTCAATTCTAAATCTTGGGCACCAAAGCTCATCTCGGGGGGCAGAGGGGATATAGAACCCAGGGCCTTCACACTGAGTACATCCCCAGCACTTTTTTTTTTCTGTGTAGTTTGGTCCTTGAACTCGGCAGGTAGCTCAGGTTGGCCCTGAATTCTTGGTGATCCTCCTGCCTCGGCCTGGGATGACAGGAATGTACTACAGTGCCTGGCTGTCTTTTGATTTTTTTTCTTTGCTTTTTGAGACGGTCTTGCTATGCAGTTCAGGCTTGCCTTGAGCTCACTTTGTAGCTGAGGCTGGCCTCGAACTTGCACTCATCCTCCTGCCTCAGCCTCCCGAGTGCTGGGACTACAGGCGTGCACCACCACCCCCGGCTGATGCTTTTAAATTCTTTTGGGAAGATATCAGGAAGGGGAATAGTTGGGTCAAATGGAACCTCTATTTCTAGTTTTTTGAGGAGTCTCCACACTGATTTCCATAGTGGTTGCACCAGTCTGTACTCCCACCAACAGTGGTGGAGGGTTCCTTTTCCCACTTACTCAGATTTAAAACCTTTTTTCTCTTTTCAGTGCTGGGGACGGAGGTGTTCTACCACTAATCCCCAACTGCATCCCCACCCTTCAAAATTGAAGTCTTCATTTCTCTTTCCCTAGCTCTCTCTCCATCTGTTTATTTGGTCACCAGTTCCACACCAGTGCTCGTACTTAGTCCCAGCCACTGTTATTGCTCCCCTAGATTACTACATTCTATTTGATCACCTGACGTAGCTCCTGTTGCAGTTATTATGCATCAGATCACTAGCTCTCCCCCTTGATGGCGCTTAGAAACTGTGCAGTTCTGTGTATATACTGAATTTGCTGTCTGTTTCTCCAATGCAGCTGTAAATTCTGAGTATTTATCCTGGGCCTACCCAGCAGTGGTTCCTGTCGTAGGTGGGCTGGGGGGCCGGTGGGACATGCTCCGGAAAGAAAATGTGCAACTGGTGGCGGAAACCGCCCTTCACGTCTGCGAAGTGGAGATACTGGGTTTGGTCTTGCCTGGATCGCAGACGTGAGCCTGGGCAGTGGACAGCGGATGCAGCTGCCGCTGCTGTCTTGATGGCAGTTCCCACGGCGCGACGTGTGAAGCAAAGGGAAGAGGTCAGGAGACTGGGAGCTGGCATCACCAACACGAGAGCCTCCAGCTCCCCGGGGCCGCAGCTCCCCTGAAAGTGGTTATGGCCCCAACTATGATCACAGCAGGCCCCTCAGGAAAGTGCTTGCTTCAGCAGCACATATCGTAAAACGAGCCGCAGAGACCATCAGCATGGCCCTGTGCTATAATGACGAGCAGACTTGCGCCGTGTTCCATATTTTTGTTTTGTTTTTTTGTTTTTTTGTCTTTTTGAGACAGGGTCTCAATACGCAGTTCAGGCTGGCCTTGAGCTCACTTTGTAGCCCAGGCTGGTCTCGAACTCACAATGATCCTCCTGCCTCAGCCTCCCTAGTGCTGGGATTACAGGCGTGCGCCACCACGCCCGGCGGTGTTCCATATTAACAGGGAAAAAACAACCCGGAGAGAAGGGAATTCTTGTTCCTGATCCCATCGCAACAACCTAGGACTAAAAAGGGCTGTAAGAGTCCCTCGAGGTGCAAGCTGGGCTACTGCTAGAGTCCAGTACCCGGTTAAATAGCATCGAGGTACAAAAGTGAGATGTTTGTTCCTCACAAGTTGAGACAGCCCTCTCAAGCTCTGTAAATGTCAAGTGCATTATGACGGGACCCGGGAAGCTCCCGGAGCAGAAGGCGACAGCAGGGGCGGGGGCGGAGGGGGCGGGGCGGCGCTTCCAGGGCTTGAACGCCGGAGGAAATGACGTCTCCGCTGAGGCTCAAGGAACCTCACGCCTCCTTACACACTGCACCCTCCCCATTCCAAACTAGCCGTACCTTTCACCCCTCCCTACTTTCCAACGCTGTTGTTCCACTAATCTATATTGTCCTGCTCAGTCTGGTTAACTTCTACTAATTTTTATGATCCATCCCAAAGTGAAGCAGTGGCCAGGAGTTAGTTATTTCCTCGGACTTCCGGAGAGGCTTGGGTATACCAAGCAAGAATTCTGCGTGTTGCCGGGCGTGGTGGCGCACGCCTGTAATCCCAGCACTCCGGAGGCTGAGGCAGGAGGATTGTTATGAGTTCGAGGCCAGCCTAGGCTACAAAGTGAGCTCAACGCTAGCCTGAACTGCATAGCAAGAACCTGTCTCAAAAAAAAAAAAAAAAAAAAAAAATCTGCGTGTAGCAGGGTGTGGCAGTGAGGGTACATTCTGGGAGGCTGAGACAGGAGGATCGCAAATTTGGGCCCAGCCTGGTCAACTGAGCGATCCTATCTTAAATAAAAAAATTTAAAAAGGGCTGAGAGATGTAGCTCAGCGGTGATTCTTGCTGCAGTTCGGCTTATCACATGTGTCCCGTACCGCAGTAATCTGATTCTGTGTGCTTGTGTATCTCTGTCCACCATACAGTGAGCTCATAGTGGTGCCAGGGTCCAGGATGAGGCAGGCTCAAGAAGGGTCCGCCGAACGACTGAACGAACAAGGGCGTTTTCAAACGGAATTGGCGAGGGGTGGGGGTGGGAAGTGACTCAAGGCATAGCGGTTAGCCGGGCTCGTCGGAACTGCGTCCTTCCAGAACCGAGCCTGGGTCCGGCAGACGCGACGAGCCAAACGACAGCCACGAACCTCCAGAGAAAGTAGGTCAACTCCTTCCTGTCTCTTTAAGAACGCGAGTTCAGCTTCTGCGCCTGCGCCGCGCCAGCGTAAACACTTCCCTCCCCGCCCCCCGCCCTCCCGGCGCGCCCGCGGGCGGCAGCCTCCTCCCGCACCGCCCCTCCGGAAGCCGGCGGAGGTCCGTCCCAGGGTGTTGGGCTCTCTGGGGGGGGAGGAAATCTAAGTGGTACTGTCCACTGCCTTCACTCCGCGCGCGTTTCGCAGCCCCCGCGTTCCATTCACCCCCGCCCGGGCCGGCACACTAGACCTGCCCGAGGAGGAGGGGCGCGGGCCGAGGGACCGGTCTGATCCGGTCTGTGGCGCAGGCGCAGTGCGGATAAACAGGAAGCGGGTGGCGGAGGCGGCCGGGAGGGTACCCGCGGCTTCGGGGCTGCAGCGAGCGGACTTCAGTTGCCGGGCGGACGGCAGATCCGAGCGCGAGAGAAGGGTCCTTGACTTCGGCTTCCAGGAACGCGAGGCCGGACCCCGGCCTCCCCCCGGGCTCCGGACGCCCGCGCCGAGGCCGCGGCTGACAAAGGCTCGCCGCCGCCCTTCGCATCCGGGCACTCGCGCCCCGCGGGGGAGGGGCGCAGGCCGAGTCCTCTCCCCGCGACGCAGGCGAGGGGCCGCGGAGGTGGCGGCGGGCCGCGGGAGGATGGTCCAGAAGGACGGCCAGGCGGCGCTGGAGGAGCGGGAGGCGGACCTCAGCTCCAGCCCCTCGGCTGCTGCAGGGGCGGCGTTGGAGCCGCAGGCGCCGTCGGGCCCGGGAGACGAGCACCCCGCTGGGGCCGGGGC